CATGACATGCAAAAACATTGCACTGTTTCTTTCCAAGAACATGTCGTAAAACCCTTCTATCTGCTTGTCTTCTATCTGCTTGTCGTCTTAAACAAGAAGCAGCTTCGCCAACGTGAGTAGTGATTTTAATTTTGATTTTAGGCTCTTATCAGTAGAAATACCTATTGAAATACCCGTGGCTGTTTGTTAAAAGTATGATTGAAGTTCAAAACATGATAAATGAAGGGGGTTTTGGTAAACATGCTGATGTTGGAGAGGTTTTCAACCCGGCACGGAACAGGATATTTACTAGTAAAGTCGGTTAGTCGAATGTATTGAGCTCTTAAAAGTCGTGTTTATGAAGAATTAAGGGTCCGTAATTCAAGATATTACTTTTTTAATTAGGCTTTTCGAGCCATCCCGAGCATCAGGCACAGGGAACCCAATCTTCTTTTCTTACATTTATCGAGTTACGATATCACAGCTATGCCATTTAGTGTACAACATAACAACTATAAGGCAACTAGTTTATAATAATGTAAACCATTTCATATATAATACATATATATACCAGCTTTGCAAGTCRTATTAATCCTAATCATGTGTTATCATATATTCTTATGCAAGTATCATGCAGAAAGCTATAAGAGTTATTTTATCTACATGGTATTTGCTAGTAACATAGCAATCAATTACGTCATACGTAACAAAAGATAACATCACAATACGCAATTATATTGCCCTTTGTAATCAGCGTCAGGGTCTTCATAACAATTTTCTTTTAGTGCGTAGATATCGTCATTATTACGTCATTGTATAGCAATAGATGACGTCACAGTATGCAATCTCATTGGCTCTAGTAATTAGCATCAAAGGTTTTCTAACCATTTTCTTTGATGCGTAAATATCTTTTTTATTACGTCATTATATAGCAATGGATGACGTCAAAGTATGCAATCTCATTGGCTCTAGTAATCAGCATCATAGGCTTTCTAACCATTTTCTTTTGGTGCGTAGATATCGTTTTTATTCCGTCATTATGTAGCGATAGATGACGTCACAATATGCAATCTCATTGGCTCTAGTAATTAGCATCAAAGGCTTTCTAACCATTTTCTTTTGGTGCG